TAGACTATTGCTGCTTTGTACAGGTAAGAATATGGCATGTTCTGAATAACATTAAGAATGATGGGAAAATCATGCTCAAGACTTCAGTGACTAATTGGATTTGATGATTATCGCAGTAATGCAAGTGAAAAGCGTGACTGGCTAACGTGAGAGTATGATGAGAATCTGATCGAACAACAATACCCCTGAGCAGTGAACCAAAAGGCGAGCCATTAGAAAACTTCAACAGCTTGATGCTGCCATCCTAAGGATAATGAATCTTAGATTGGTCGGTCAACTTCTTACCGAATTGATCTGTTCAGTTGCTACACGTTAACTATCTCTTACATTTTCCCGGTTAATGAAGGAAGATTTATTTTGCTTGAAACCGAATGATGAATATCCCTTACAGTTATCCTTTTCTTTGCTTATCGACTCAATATTGATGATAATCACAGAGAGTAGCGATCATTCGTATGTTTGCAAGAGATCAATGAACTGGAACAGCTTTCTGAGCTCAATAAGAAACACTGGTACAGCTGTACCGGAATTTATGCCCGAAACTGTTGCTTCTGCAGTTTTCTCGTTTGGAATCACTATTCCCAACCATATATAGACAATAATTGGCCTCATTTCCAGTTCATGATATGAGAAACTGATTCTGAATCATTTCTTGAAATCCAGCTAATTCCTATGCTACACTACAACCAAGAAACAGTCATAAATCAATATTATGCTCATTTGCAATATTTTCATGCAAAATTCTGTCAGTCTAGTGCATTCGTGAAATTTCAGACAGCGTGCAACCACGATCAGCCAAATCGCTTGTCAGAGTATAATTTCCGAAGATGAATTTTTGAGAGGTGATAAGGTGAATGATATTATCAGTGAAGTGAATTCGATATGTTCATCCGGTTCGTTGCACATCGCTGAACACAGAGTGTTTAAGTGCAAAATTGTGGTTTGATTTATCGAAAGAATTATATTTGATGTTATTTGTGCAGTCGGCTGTATCGTATTCGCGTTTTATGTGATTGCATAATACGGTGGTCTCACTTCCATATTAAACGAATTAAAGGCATATGCACATGACAGAGAGAGTAGGTAGTTGTGTAGAGTCTTTTAAAGTTTTCCTTAAATTACAACGTTTTTCTTGCGTTCGTTTCACTTCGAATGTGCAAACAACACACGCGAATGCATTTGCTTATCAGTTCACGAATGAACCTGTTCAAATTCCCATCGTTCGTAGGTAGACGTGCTAATCGAACAGAACTGCACAATACCACTCCCTTCTGCTGTTCTTCGGAGAAATTCAATGAAATGGAAACTACAACGTTGAGAACAAGTGAAAACATCTCAAACGAAACCACGAAGCCGAAGTGTTCTACGCAACGCTCTGTGATGTGCTCAAATTTGCAAAATCCGATGCAGAAAACAATTTCCCTACGTTGAAAATTCTACGTTAAATCCATGTACCGCAACGAGGAGAAAGGAGTGTATTTAGGTCGTGTGTTAATCGTGTTTTACTCTGTGAACTCGCAATGCATCCATGCCTAATTTCGTGCAAAATTCCATGAGCTACAAAATAAGAAGTGCTTATTTATTACTTGAACTGTTGCAGTCTAAAAATATTTGATTGACATTGTGCTCTATTGGTTTTGATCGTCAAATGCACTCGGCACAGACAGATCATCTCNTGCTCATTTTCTTCTAGGATATATTTAAGCGCTGACAGACATTGACGATGCGGCTAACAATGCAAATAACGATATGGATAGCAATGATAAATTTCTGAATGTGACTGTCAATTTCAGTGCGTCTATATGTAGTACATTTAAAAGGTTTGTTCTTTTGCACTCAAATGCTAAAATACATTTGCTGCTGAGAAGAAGTCGAATAAACGGAAAATTTCTGAACATAAAACAATTTGTTTGAATGAATGTTTTATCAGCATTGCTAGTATTTTTAATGTTGTTGTTTTCAGTTGTGTGCTGATGGTTAGTGCGAAAACGATTATAAGAACGGAGAAGAAACAAGCAACGATTTGAGGATGTGAATAGAGAATCGTGAAGAAAGAAGAAAAAACTGAAACAAGAATTATTTTTTTAAACGATCATTCTCTTGATGCCGTCCAATTCCTTACAGCCATTTTTGCGTTGTTCATTTCGACCTTCCCTTCGATTCTGGTTGTGTATTGAGCAAGCGAGCGCCTTATCGCCGTTCATACCCACAGCACTGAAAATACCCAGAACAACATCGCCTGTGAATGTGAATTCAAATGGTGTTGTAGGTAAGAGTGAAAAAACCAGTTTATCATCCAATCAACCGCTGAAAGTTTTTGCGCGATTTATTGTTCTGTGCGATTTGTTGTTGTTTTATTGAATTTGATTGCAACGATTCAATCATTAAAATAATAGATGGTAACAGTTTAGAAGCTGGTTCATTTTACCATTGAGTGCGATTAGATTAACCGATAATTACAGTATGGTCAAGGGAGACATTAGATGGATATTCATCGAAAGGCAAATTTTTAATCGCGACATGAGACTCTGACCAAAAAACTGCAGAGTAGACTACCTACCGATGGTGATCACTCAGATTGGCTAACTCCAGGCAGGAATTCGTTTGAGAGGCCTGTTAATGGGAACTGGACGATCCGTCGGGAGTGACTATACTGCAAAATTTCTGTCGAGGAGAGTCAGAGGACAATTCAATATCAAACTGAAGGAAATATCTCCTTTTTGATTATCCTCTTGAGCGGAAAATCACTGTTGCACGTCGATTGGCGTTGAAAAATAATCAAAATTCTAACCACAGAAAAACTCGTTATGCAAAGTTCTGCTCGTGTCAGGAGCTCGTTCTCCCCATCGAGCACACGTTCGGACGAGGCTAATAATTAAAATAAGCTCTTAGGAAGTAATTCGTCCGAAGCAACACTGTTGAGGAATGCGATCCTCTTCCCAGACGGATATGGTGTTTGGCGTTTGAATTGGGTGTTTGAATTCATTAACAATAATGAGTGTATGGTCGGGTTTGCATATACCGTTCTCTGAACACCGAAATTTTCATATTATCTATGAAAAATTGTGCTATGACGTGGAATTTCTGCATATTTCGATGTGGGATTAATATTCTCTGAAGTTTAGTTCGGGTTACAGTGCATTTATATATTTTGTATCACTTGTAGGTGGTCGGTTATGACCGATTCAGATCAGGTAATCTGTTTTTGATTGATAATTTGATGGATGGAATGATTCACAGACAAGGTTCTGTCGAGCGGAAACAAATACTTCTTATTTCCGTTTCCGGAAACCGTCTAACTTTATAAACCGACGTTGATTGCTTGTTCATGTTTTATTCAATTTTGTGATACATTCAGACATTTGTATACGACTGCAATGTGAGAATTAGGTATAGTTTCATGCATTCGTAAGCTGATTTTCAAAGATGTAGCAAACTGCGTTGAGTTCAATGGTAGTTTTGTTACAGACAAAGAAAGGCAAAAATGGAATCAATGAAGTAGAAAGTAAGAAAGCTAACGAGTCATTTTTGAGTCTTAAATCAAAAGAGACTCTATCAAGTTCACAGTGTGAGGAGAATGCGAATCAAACACCTATTAAGTGTATGTAATCAATTTCTGCACAAATTGTGGGTTATTTCGGGGCTGGAACATTTTTGGATGATATTCGAATACAATGCAAGAAATTCCACTCGGATTCGCTCAAAAAAGGAAATGAAAATGTAGGTGTCGTATATGAAGTCACCAAAAAAAGGGACACCTATATGGAAAACCGGAAAAATCAACAGCTATTGAAAATTTCTCAGCACTGATATCAGTGCTGAGAAATTAAAAAAAAAATCAGAAAGTGATGTAAACGATGCACTTTACAGAAAATTCAGTCCATTAATCAAATATAACTATTATACAGCAATTCTCTGAGCAACACTCAAACACATTAGAGTATATTTGTGAAGTGTGCTCAATTTTAGCAAGCCCACTTGAAGATCGGCCCGAAAATGATGCGGAATGTGAGGAGAGCGGTCAGAGTATTTCGGAAGTGAGTGAGAAGGCAGATGAGAACCTAATCGATGAAGCATCAACAACGCAGAAGAAACCGTCGGAAACGGATGAGAGCTCCACTCCAGCTAAACAACCAATAACTGAAACATACAAACGTGAAGCCGAAGAAAATGAACATTTCGATCCACATTTTTACAAGAACATTGTACGGAATCCCATCTCCTTATTGAACGCAAACCTATTTTCTCAGCGTAGTGTCACTGGTAAACGTACCGATTACTTGCAGTGCTACTTGACGTTTTTCATCACTATCCAGTTGGTAAAAAATTAGATTCACCACCTCAATATTTATTCCAGAATATTGCAGTGAAGTACACCCGCAACATGTTTATATGATAGCAATAAGCTATTCCAGTAACAATTGCTTTCAGTTAGCTTAGTGACGACTACAGTCTGCTAATGAAAACCAACTTGACTATTTAGATCAGTCGTCTAGTGGGAAAATACATTAATTGGTCAATGCTTGACGGGAAAAGTCTGCCAGATTTGGAAAGCGATAATGGGAGCGGTATATCGCGGATTCATTACGTTTCGGCGTAGGCTTAAACTAAGACTTATAAAAGACCTAAAGCATCTTTTAAACAAATAGATGGGCCTTTTTAGGAGGCTCAGCTTAAGCCTAGGCCCGGACTTAATGCATCGCGACATCGCACTTTAATTATCGACACTTGCTAACTTCGAAGAACTTCGTGGTGATTTGCAAGTGCTCGTCACTTTTGTCTCACCCGATTAATCCCTTAACACGCAGATGAAAAGCACTCATTTGACGATGTGATCGCCACACTTCCCAGCCAATATATACATGTACTTTGGTTGTACTTCGCTGGTGTATCCAATGACAATGTAACGAAATCGAC